GCAGAGATGTTTTGTTTTTTCACTTAAGAAACAGTAAAATGTTGATTTCACGAGAATGCATGACTGCAGAGATATTCATTTCACTTAAGGAACAGGAGAACGATGATTTCATGAAGTTCTTGAGGCTAGAAGTTTGAAACACTACAAATCATGTTGATGTTACAATTGATGGCTATTTGTTGGCCATTATCTGTGGGATACCCTGTATCAATAAATGCAGCAACTCTATTTCGTTGTTGTTTACTAGGCCAAGAAACGTCCACAGAATGTGATGACAGTGCATGCTGGGAAGGTTGTCTTCAACTCATGCGCGGGAAGAGATGGCAGTTGATGCAAGACATATTTTATAAGTCTAACTTCAGTTCTTGCTTTCTAAACGCTGATGCTGGCAATGCTTGGCAAATGTGCCACAAATAACAAGAGGGTTTTTTTCTTGGGCGATAACTGCTCTTGGACTTTGCTGCCTGGATCTGACTTCAAATGCTGATAACTCGATTGTATCTTCGTTGGATTTCAGAGCACGGTTTGCTCCTTTATACCTTGTTGCTGACTTATGGGCTTATGAAGGCTTTATCATACCTGTCAACTACCAGGCAGGCATGCAAGGTTCATTAAAACCACACTGAAAAGCATCACATCTCTTTTCTGTTTGATGGTATTTCATTTGGTGCTTGATTCATCACACATGTTCATTGTTGTGTTTCACATTGCAATAACCAATGTAAACAATCTGTGTCCTAGATTTCTGCTCTATTTCCTGCTTTCCTTTCATTTTCAAGAAGACAGCTAAGATTCTGAGGGATTTGATTTTGGCCTCAAACACTATAAACAGAATCTACATTTGTATCGTATTCACATAAGGCAACGCCATCTTTGCTTCAGAGAAAACTATGTTAACCCAGACAGATTTTCTTCCAAAAATGTGCAAACGAGTGAAAAAAGGTCCAGGTCAGTGTTATAAGATATATTTTGAAGGCAATTTAGCGAGAACGAGGCAAACCAGGGCCAGAAAATAGAAACCAGGTCTACAATTCAACATAAGGCGGATATGCACTCAGGCTTTCAATTGGTTGTGCTCAGAGTAAGATTCATTTTGCAATCGTGGTATTTTCCTTTCTTGTTTTACAAAGTAAACATGAACTTTTGCCAGTGAGGATCCACCTATTTATAATCCATCAAATATTTGCGCTTGGATGCAATTTGTCTAACTGTGTCACATGATCGAATATGCCCCAGCTAAAACTGGGGAATATCCAGGTGATATTCCCCAATTTTGAAAAGATACCGCCTGTTGCGAAAATATTTGAGGGATAATGAACACCATAGCCACCATTTGTTGCGAAAACATGCTCAGATATTTTTCCTCGGACATTATCTGTTCCTTGAAGCCCACATTCGTTCTCAGAAGACTGTTCCCTTCTTGAAACAGACAAAGTGTGCAGACAAATATCCAAGCATATTTTCGTACCAAATGGAGGCTATTGTTTAGATGTTTGTTTGTTTAGTTGTTGGCATCTGTCTGTCTCGGGAGACAGTAGAACTCTGTGCCATGATTCAGGCAGTGGTTGAGTTACAGCGCGTGCTGTGGCTGTATAGGTCAATTCTGAATCGGCAGGCTCTGTTGCAGTTGTTGCAGGTGAAAGTCGTGCCTGGCTGTGAGAGCAGGGAACCTGCCCTCTGCTGTCTGTCCTCTCTTCCCATTGCTGTTCTCTCAACTCCTCGCTCCTTTGGACGCATGCCTTCAGTGTCCTTCTCTAGTCACAAGGGTCTTCAGCCACTGTCTCCCAGCCTGCTGGATATTATATATGCTTTGCATTGATCAGTAGAGAAGACTGAAGTATAATTCATTTACTTACAGCTGTAGAACTTTCTCAGATTGCCACAACATGTTATTTTCCTTCCATTATTTTTTTTCAGTCTGATGTTTACATTTGTATGGAGTTAATGACCACGTGTCTGGATAAGTTAATGAAAAAACTTCAAGGGCCAATTCCAGAAGATGTGCTGGGGAAAATTTCCGTGTCTGTAAGTACACCATAACCCGCAAGACACATGTTTGTGATCCCTGTGTATGGAATGAACTGCACAGTAACCTGTCTTTTTTTTATTTTCACACACACACACACACGAAAAAAACACTACTTACAATGCAATACTTACATTACCTACATTACCTACATTACCTACATTAAGATGGTTACTTGAAAATTTTTCAATTCCAATATACATGCTCATTTAGCAGCGTGCAAAGAATGTCCTGTCCAATGGCTTGGGACTACCGGATTTTCCAGTTTCTTGGGGCTGGTGATAATGACGTTTGGGCTACTACATCATAGGTAGAACTTGCCCAAAGGGGAAGCCCAAAAATTTTATTTTTTTTTGCACCCTACTTAGATGATTTATTCTAAGAAGTCAACATTTAAGCCACATGCTGACTTCTGTTTGTGTACTATGTGTGTAATAGTATACATTTACCTTGACCTAGTGCATGTAAGTAGATCCTTCAAATATTATAGCGTTCATTTGTACAGATAGTTTTTGCATGTTTGTTTAGATTGTCAAGGCTTTGAATTACCTAAAGGAAACACATGGAGTTATGCACAGAGGCAAGTCAACATTG